ATAATAGAAAAGTGATTTAAATCTTTATTTCATCTCTTGAAAAACTGCCCTTGTAGAGCGGGCTCATTCACAGCACAGCAGAGCTACTTGAAGCCCTCCCTCCCCTGTGCCCAGCGGACGAGTCTCAAAGCTTTCCTCCCTGTTGAGCGGCTTGTCTCTCTTTACCTTTCCCTCTGCAAGTATCAGTTCTTTATCCACCAGTGATCCTTGGTCTTTTCTGTTACTTCAATTAAGATGATGAATGTATCCATCATGCCCCAAGTGTTCTCAGCCCCTCTGCAGTCCTGCCTCTTCCCTGCTTTCTCCCACTAGAAATTGGTTTGCATTTTCTCCAGTTCTGTGTGGATGGAATCATATAGTATGTACTCTTCTGTAGTCTGGTTTCTGTCACCCATATGCTATATCATTCTTAGTTATTGTTGAGTAGTAGTCCATTGTGTGTTTGCACCACTAGACTTTACTTTAAAGATTAAGGATGCAGCCCCCAGAGAGGAAATGAAATCTGAGCAGCCCAAGACCTTAACAAAAATCCAGAATGGGGAGGGAGAAGTGCCATGTTTCTCTAAAACACAAATGCAGTTTGTATTATGAAAGAATGTGACTGCCAAGACCACATAACTGACCAAATAAAACTGTGCTTTTTCCAATTTCCATCGCCAGATCTGGTTAGATCCTGGCCATGCAGGGGGCTGGGGTAGCTTAGCAGACATTACCTCTGGGGGCGAGTCAAAGAAATGATTTGACTGCTGGCTTTTTCTTCCCTAAACCCTTGAAGAGGTTGAGAATTGAGGAAAGTACCCCCACATTTATTTACAAGTACACAATGTCTTTTAGTTATACCAAGTTGGATCAAATGAAACAAAGGACTTTAAAACATTTTGTAAACTGTAAAGCGTAAATCAAAGTGCCCTTTTCCATCATAAAAAACCACCTCAAGATTTATTTTGTACTCAGATTAAAGTTTAACGTTTAAGATCGCTGATCCAGGAAAAACAAAACAAGAAAAGGACTTAGAGAACCATCAGTGCAACAATTAGAAGAAGTTACAGCATTATATCATAATCAGCAACTGTGTGCCCCTCTGTAGGAGGAGACTTGAAGTTCTTTGGGTCCATGGTAAATCCCACAAAACTAGCTCTGTGACTCCAACCTCCAACGGCAACCTAAATAGACAATGGACGCTTTATTTCCATCTCTAACTACTCAGCTATTTTGCTTCAAGCTTTTATCCTGTCCAGAATCCTAGGTTGTCCCCAATTTTATTGGACCCCAGGAACAATAGTCTAAAGAATTCTGAGACTTTGAGACTAAACTCTTAGTAAGCCCCTGAAATATCACTGGTCAGTATTACCTTTAGAGCATTGCTACCCTGAGCAAGGGCTACAGATTGGCTGTATCTGAATCACCTGGGAATTTGTCAGAAAGGCAGATTCTTGACTCCCACCCTCCCATTGGAATCTGCATGTTCACAAGATCCCAGGGGGTTGTATCAGTGTTAAAAAATGAGGATCACTGGTCTAGACAGCGATTCTTCAGCTTCGGCGTTGAGGCACTTGGGAGGCAGCTACTGCTGCTGGCCCTCTTCGGGACCACAGTCTGAGAAGTGCTCTGCTCTGGCTCTAGAGCTGGATGGTTACAGAGATCAAGTGGCTCCTTTCCATTCACTGTGCATGATGGAGAATTAGTGCGTCTTCCAACTTGACCTGAGGCGAGAATCCAGGAAGGCCAACACTCCTCAGTGACTGGGACCTTTTCCCTTGGATTGTTTTAAAATTGCCTCCTGTTTAAACAGAGCTGTGGACGAGAGGTTCTAGGGCCTCTGTACCGAAGCCAGAGTAAATTTATGGCAGAGGCTCCATCCGGGAACGTGTTTCTCTCACCTTGAAAACAAGCAGAGCCTGAGGGGCTGTGGCAGAGTGCCCTGGTGCTGGGAGGTGGCTCTTAGAGAAGCGGATAGGACAGACTTGTGACCCTGCCCCGCCCTTCTGTATAAAGGCCCTTCGAGGCTGAGGCTTTTGTCTTTGAGTCCTCCTTGGGACTGTCCCCAAGCTCTCAAGTCCACCTGTGCCCTGCAACAGCCATATTCCTTGGTATGGACACACACTGAGAAACACATCAAGGGCAAGCATAGTTCAGAAATCTAACAAAGTGTGTACGCTGTTGGGTGCCCCTGCCTTTATTTTATGAAGATATACCTCAGTGCAAAGAAAAGTGGCATCAGGTGAGCAGAATCACTTCAAATGGAAACACTGGACCATAGACAGATGCAAAACCCATTCCGCATAGTGGAGGTGAATGTGAACTTGTAAGCAGTTGGTCAGCTCTGCCCCACTGTCTACCAGATGGGAGGGTAGTACACTGTTTTCACCAAGACTGCATCTCACAAATAATAAACTTACATCATACAGAAACTTCAAACAGAAACAACTGTCGTTGTAGAATGCATACTGTATTCCAGGGTCTGTGCTAAGTGTTAACAAGTATTATTTCAGTCTTAGCTATGAGGTTAATATCACTGTTATCCTCATTTTGCAGATGTGGAAATTAAGAAACAGAGTTACTGCATATTTTGCCCGAGGTTACAAAAGGCACTTAGGAGTCCAAACCTGGTCTCCATCGTGACCACCTGTGGCAGGTTATAGAACAGCAGCTTGGTGTGGTGGAAAAAGTCAACCTGTTGTGCACAATAGGGATCTGTTTTTAAACAAGACAAATTTTTTAAGCATTGGAACTCTGTTTGCCATTTACTTATTTATTTATAAAATATATTTAGAGGCACAAGGGTAGGAGACAAAAGTCTCACCAAGAACCTTTTTCATAAAATATATGAAAGTAAAGCTCTTCAGCTTGAAGCCAGGCAGGGACTCTGGACCCCTGCCCACACTCACAGCCCCTCATGTACCACACCCTACTCCCACCCTGTATTCATTCACCGGGAGTAGTTCCACCTCTGTGGTCTCCGGCCTCAATCAGTTCTAATGAGATGGATGAAACTGGAGCCCATTATACAGAGTGAAGTAAGCCAGAAAGATAAAGACCAATACAGTATACTACTGCATATATATGGAATTTTAAAAGATGGTAACAACAACAACAACAAAAAGATGGTAACAATAACCCTATATGCAAAACAGAAAAAGAGACACAGATGTACAGAACAGACTTTGGACTCTGTGGGAGAAGGCGAGGGTGGGATGTTCTGAGAGAATAGCATTGAAACAAGTATACTATCAAGGGTGAAACAGATCACCAGCCCAGGTTGGATGCATGTGACAAGTGCTCAGGGCTGGTGCACTGGGAAGACCCCGGGGGGAAGGGATGGAGAGGGAGGTGGGAGGGGGGATCAGGAAGGGGAACACATGTAAATCCATGGCTGATTCATGTCAGTATATGGCAAAAACCACTTGAGGAATGAAAATGGAACTCCTAAATAAACTACTTTGAAACAACTTAAAAAAAAAAAATAGTTCCAACCGCAAGTTCACTCCCTGCCCTCTTTCCACCTGAGGTAAGTTGGTCATGAATGACAGGGACAAAACATGGGTGTGTCCTGGAGGGGAAAGGCTCTAGAGATGCATGGTCTTTGAAAGATGGGTGGGATATGGTAAGTATGATGAGTTTTACTTAGCATTTTAAATGATTAGTAGTTGAAATGGTGGGGGAGTTGCGTGTAAAGTGTTGTAATAGAGAATCCAAGAAGAATGTTGAGTCTGAATGCCTAGTATCTACTCATGTAAAGTTTCAGTCCAGCTTGGAATTGTGTGCAGGTGTGATCAAGTGCATTAAGCACTGATGGATTGGTATTAGTCTAATCTAAGATATTAATGGATTGTGTATGTTTTGGGGGAGTGAGCACAGCGCAGTAATGGAATTTCCACCCTACCTCTATGCCGGAAGACTTCAGCACCCAAGGCTTTAGTAGTTCCATACCATCCACAGAACGCTCACAGAGGGACCTCAGGTGGATCTGCCCAAGGACCAAAGTGGCAAGTGACTTGCCAGTCTCTCCATGCCATCCAGAGGGCCTGTGGCTTCCATTCTAGGTCACTGAGCTGGCTGGGCTGATCAGGTCCAGCCCTGAGGGGAGAACAGCACAGCCAGACCCTTCTACCCAGACACTGGACTTATGGAGTGGCAGGAGCTCAACAGGCCATGTTGGTCCCTTTTATGAGGTCCATTCAGTCAATGACTCTTTGACCCATTTGGTGGTGGTGAAGTGGGGGGTGGTTCTCACCTTTAAAAAAAAAAAGACACTTTAACTTTTAAATCACCTTTAACATTCTGGCAAATATTCTTCCAGTCTTTTTTTCTTTTGCAGTTTTCTAAATATAGCTGAATTCACAACATATATTTGATTTTGTGCCTTGTTTTTCTTTCACCTATCTGCATCATAGGTAAATAGGTACATCATAAGCATTTTTCCATATGTTAATTATGTTTTGCAAGCAACAAGTACTCTTAAGTGAGGTAAATAAATTTACCTGCCCCTTGGCTTCCTCATGTGTAGCATAGGCAAGAGTTCTCTAATTTTATCACAGAGGTCACCTGGAAGGCTTTTTAAAACACAGTTTGCTGAGCACCACCTCTAGAATTTCCAATTCAGTGGGTCTGGAGTGGGGCCTGGGAATCTGCACTCCCAACAAGTTCTGAAGAGAGGCTGGTGCTGTTGGTCAGGAGACCACACTGGGAGAATCAGTGAAATGAGACTGAGTTGTGGGATTTCCAAGGTCACTTCTGGTTTCAAAAATCCAAGTGTTTGCATATTTTTCAAATTCTTTAAGACCTAACTCTTAAAACACACACATTTTCCAACTTTAACAAAACCCTATGATTTTTTTTTAAATACCAAAGAACATCATCTTCCATTTAAACGTAATTGTTTCCACTTGTAACTCATATGCGTTCCATACTTCTCTTTGAAGTTACCTGGAGTTTTAAAAGCCTATCTCTAAAAGACAGTCACACTTAAACCTAATGCTTTTTTCTTTTCCTTTGCATAGTTCCATATGTATTGAAGAGCTGTGCAGAATTTATAGAGACTCACGGCATCGTGGATGGAATTTATCGTCTTTCAGGAGTCACCTCAAACATACAACGGCTAAGGTAAGTCCAAGAATCGCCCCCAGAGAATTTTCCCATGATCCTTGCTCTGTCCATACGTCTATCTGCAGGTGTTGGGAGTACTAAAAACTGAAGGGGTTGAGGGAAGGATGTCAGGGCACAAGATCAAGTGCTAATGTTTTCAGATGCCTAACTGTTCTTAATCTAATCAGGAAGCTCTCCAATCTGATGTAATTCCTTCCAACAGAAATTCCTGAGGGCTTTTAATCTGTTCCTGTGTCTTGCACCAGATTTATTCTTCTTAGGTGGATTCAGCTGAACTCAAATGATTTAAATTACAAGTTGGGAAAAAATGATTTATTATTACTCACTTGCCTATCCAAAGCTCAGATCCCCGTTACATGGTATTCAGAACTTAGAGGTCAATGTGAGTTTTTCTGTTGACACACACTCAACATTTGATAATTTCATCTGGTTGAAAAATCAGAAGTCTGCATGATTGTGCATTTTTCTAATTGATGCCTGTATTTTTGAAATCACTGATAGAGGAACTATCTCCAATTCTATGGATTTATCCTAAACAATTCTAAAATGTATCCTAGAATTTTTTTAATTAAAAGGACAATAAACTTCAAATATGTATTGATATTATAGCTGTAAAATAAAAGTAGTATATGTAGTGTATATATAGAATATATCCATTATATACAGTGGCACTAATGGTTAAGAACTTGCCTGCCAATGCAGGAGACATAAGAGATGTAGCTTCGATCCCTGAGTTTGGAGGATTTCCTGGAAGAGGGCATGGCAACCCACTCCAGTATTCTTGCCTGGAGAAGCCTGTGGACAGAGGAGCCTGGTGACTACAGTCCACAGCATCACAAAGACCTGGACAGGACTGAAGCGACTTAGCACACACACATAGGTGTATATACAGAATATATACTTTATATATAATATATATACTGTTCTAGGACTAAAGTCGTAGGTTTATGTATTTTAGATATTGTTCTTTAATACAAAAGAATACATTTTAATATATTTATTACATATTCTTTAGTTACAAATGTAGACTTTTAAAATAAAACATTCTTATTACAAGATTAATATATAAATTTTACATTGTGCAAATTTTTATTCTTCCTCCTGTTTTGTTTTTTGCCCCTCCTCCTCAAATCTCACTTGTCATAAAACTATACCACAGGAATAAAACATCCTTTTTACTCCTGGCAAAGTGATAACTATTTAAAAAATGACTGGTTTTTTGCAGCCGTAGATTTTAACAGATCTGTGTGCTTACATCAGTTCACTAATTTACTCATGTGATATTTTTCAGAGTTTCAACAGCAAGTGTTGGTTTACTCTCAGCTCTGAAACATACTGCACAGTAGTTGGTATTGTGGAAGGACACTTGGACAATGGCCAATTCTTTTTCACTTAAGGCTGACCTTAGCCTTGACAAGGGAAATTTTTGGCTAACTAAATGAATAAGGTCTAAGTTGTTTGTGTTCTGCCCTTGTAAAAAAAACACATGCCTATGAATTTATGAGGCCATTGCATGGTTTTCTTTTCAAGGCCTCACAGAGTTCTTTTCAGGTTCTGACAGCATCAGGGATTTCCCTTCTCTTTGTTAAAGGGGCAGAACCAGACTACAGGAGAAGGGGCAGCAAGCTTTTTCCAGATGCTGATTTTGAGAGTCCAGTTGCCGTTGTCACCTCTTGTCTGACCAAGTGAATACTCTCAAAAAACCTAACTTCTCTTCTGTATTAATGCTCAGATTTATCATCTTTTAAATAAATTTTTAACTTGCAAGTATATACCATTTGAGGCAGTATATTCATTAATCATGCTAGGAAATGTTTTTTCAGTTAGAAATGAGGCCTGGAATCTGATGAGGTTCTCAAACACCCCACTATGGATTGTTTAAGAAGATATTTATAAGCTTATTTGCCCTGTGGGAGTCACTGTCAGGCAGCCTAGAAGTTTCCACTAAGTATCAAAGAGAGAGTTGATTGAAGTTCTCAGACCTTGAGTTTGAGTCTCCAGATAAAACAAGTTGGCTGACATGAATATGTGGACATGAATGATAACAATCTGACTCACCCTGGGTTTGGTTTCTCCTCCAAGAGAGAGAAGTTCATTTAGAACAATATTTTGGAAAACTGAAATCTCAACAGGGTTTTTGGAAAATTGTTTTCATATTTCTTCACTGTTCACAATTGAAACTACAGACATAATGCCATGAGAAATCCATTCGTAAATGGGATTATGTCTTTCTCATTACAGCAGCTTCTGCAGGGAAGATCCAGACCTGAAGTGGAAATCTTTTGTAGCTTTCTTAGGCCTGGAGTAGAAGGTCTTTTTGAATCAAGGTCAAAAATATGGTCAGATCAGCAGTTTAGGGTCTTTTTACCCTCTAAGCAGCCCAAGTAGCTGCTGACATGGAACACATGTTCCTGGGATTGTTATGTCTCTGTCTGTGTTGTTTCAGGCAGGAGTTTGGCTCAGATCAATGTCCAGATCTGACAAGGGAAGTGTACCTCCAGGACATCCACTGTGTGGGCTCCCTCTGCAAGCTGTACTTTCGGGAGCTGCCCAACCCCCTCCTGACTTACGAGCTCTACGAGAAATTCACGGTAAGTGTTTGGATTTCCATTATAGTTACTGGGTGGGATGCATGGATGAGCCAAAGAAAGTTTCAGCACTAAAATTACAATAATAATACTTACCAGCTGGTTGCCTTTATCTTGGTGATGGAATTGGATGGTATAGTGAGGAAAGCAGGGTGGTGGGACTGTTTGCTATATCTTTCCTATCTTAAATTTTCGGAATCATGTTTGTTTGCTTGCATGAGCTAGCTTAAACCATCTCCATATTTATGTAACCAAATGTGTGTCAGTAGATAAGAAGGAAACAAAGAAGCAGAGAATGAAGTGACTGGCCCAATGTCACGCTCTATCCCCAAACAGAACAGAAACCTGAGACTTCAGATGCTACCCTCATGGTTAATTCATTTCAGGCTATTCCTTCTGTGTTTCTGTTGGGAGCTGTATAAAGAGGTGGGTGGGTAGAGAGGGGAGAGAGAACAAACAGAAATCAAGAGAGAGGTCAGAAAGCTGAGGAGAGAAAAGATTCTGGAAAAAGCAGCTAAGAGGGAGTATATAGATTGGGCCAGTGAGTTGGGTGGTGCAAGACGAACGGGCAAGAGCAGAACGCCTACCTAACAGTTGCATCATCACCAAATCCCACCCCCACAGGAAAAGGAGAATAAATGCTTAGAGCCTGTCTGTAGTGTCAACCTTAAAAATAGGGCTTGAACATTTGGCTGTGATGGGGGTGGGGGAGGTGCCGAGTAGGTCAAGAGTTGGGTTTAACCAAGGTTGAGGCTCAGCTAGAAAAAGAGGGGGAGGGAGATCAGAGTGTGTGCAAGCAAGTGATTGAAATAATTGACCATAGAATTTTGTCTGGATAGGAAGAGAAAGGAGGGCCTAAGGCAGGTAACAATGAAAAAATAGATCAATGGATCATTCATCCCAGTGAAATCAGTAAACTGTTGGAGTAGAGTGGTCAGAGGGGATGTTTGAAATTAAGTTTATGGAAGACTTGAAATTATTGGTAAGGACCAGACCAAGGCTCCTACCATGGGAAAGAATCTTTCTTATATCTCTTGTAATAAACCTATTTTGGACATATAAATGTTCTTTAATTTGAAATTATATAGGAGTTAATGAGTGCTGTTCACATTTCAGAAGATACTCTTACAGATCTGTCTTGTCTGTCTGTCTGTCTCTATCTCCCTTTCTCTCTCCCTACATTTGTTCCTCAGTACTATTCAATACATTCTGATGTTATGAAACAGTGCTAATTCAACAACTTGACCATCCTACCATGGTAAAAAATACAGAGAGACACTATTTTTACAGGGTATTCTCTCATATACACAGTGATTTCTTAAACCAGATTCCTACTGATGGATATTTAGACATTTTGTTTCTTAACACTTTGCTTTTATAAGCAACATTATAGTAAACATTTTTGTACATATATCCTTATACTTTATTCTGTTTAAATCACCGAAGTACATTTACTAAGTAAAAGGATCTTATTTAAAGTTTTGTCACATGTTGCCAAGTTCTGCAGAGACACAAGAATGTTCTTTTTCCTGCAGCCTTGCCAACACTGAATATTCTTAATTTGCTAAATTGTTTGCCAATCTCAATCAACCAAAAAATATCTTATTGTTGTTTTAATTTGTGCATAAGATTTTATTGTTTTCTACATAGTTTTAATCTTAGTACAGTATAATAGTTTCATCCTTAAATAAGACTACAACATCACATGTTAAATAGCTGAATGAGTCCAACCTATTTTAATTAAATTTAATTCTATGATAGTTAGGGATAGATAGGAATTCTTGTCTAGAAACTTCAGAAATAGAAGTTTCTTCTCAGATCTTGTTTATAGAGTCAAAACAAAGTCCATGTTTATCTCTCTCTGCCTCTGTTCCCTGACATTGCTAATCATTCTTTCTTCCACAGCAACAGAAAATATCAAAGCAATGTAACTGTCCACTTGTCATCAGATCTCAAGAGAACTTAGCATTGTATTTAAACATAGTTTAAGGACACTAAGAAATAAAAGATGTTTTATTGTGACAGGTGAACTCTACATAGGTAGGATCTTGTGACTAACTATCATTGAATTTATAGTTGAGTACATTTCTCTAAATCACAGTGATGAATTATAAAAATATAAGCAAACGTTTTCCAGGGACATGGGAACAGCTCTATTACACTGTCACACATTCTTACAATGATTTATTTAAACTTACTTGCACAGATGAAGTAGAATAATATTTCAGTAGAATATAATAGAATTATAAAAATATTAATGAAGTAATGATGATGATGATATCTGCTACTTAGTGCTTACTATATGATAAGCTTATTACATTCAATCTTCAAAATAACTCTGTGAAACAGATTTTACTGTCTCTTACAGATGAGTAATTGGGGCTGAAGTGACTCTTGCCTGGGTTTATACAGATAGTAAATGAAAGTAAAGATTTAACATTCTGTCTCAGACCTGCCACAGTGTTTTTAAAATAGATTTAACAGCTCTTAAATAGGCTCAGGTATTAAATAACTTAATATGATATACAGAAAACATCCCAAACTAATGAAGGAACAATTCAATAAACAATGTTAGGAAAATTGGCTAAGTGCTGGGAGAGGGGAGAAGTCAAGTTACATTTGTATCATTTAACAGATTTCAGGGTGAAAGATTTTCTAAGAACAAAAGCAAAGGAAAAAAATCACCAAAGACAAATTTAACAAACTAAACTACATAAATATTAGATTTTTCTACATTAAAAATACATTAACAAAATTAAAAGGTGAATGACCAACTATGGAAAACATTTACAATAAGGATGACAGGAGATGAATATTTTTTAATTATATAAAACTCCTACATATCAATAAAAAAGAAAAAACACACAACACCCTGCTAAACAAATGAGCAAAAACCTCAATAGACAGTTTGTAAAGAAACATAGTTATTTTAAAAGTATAAATGTATTAGAAAAAATGTATTTTCATATAAAAAAAATTTTTTTTTAATGTTAGTGTTTCATGTTGCCAAGCCTGTGGTGACACTGGCTCTGTCATAGTTTTCTATTGCAAGTGTAAATTGGCTGGACATCTAGCAAGTCATTTGAAATTACTATCAAGAGTCCTAAAATGCTCATATTTTTAAAATACAGTTATTCTATTCCCAGACTCCATTCTAAGATAATAATCAGATGTGCACATGAATAATTGATTTACCAATATTTCACTGCTGTAGTAACAGTAACAAAATTGGGGAGTATCTACATGTCCAACAGTAAGGGAAGGGTTAAATAAATGATAATAAATCTATTGTTTTAAATCCTGTGTAGCCATGAAAAGTCATATTTTTGAAGACTATTTGCTGGCCACAGTACAAAGTTAAATGGAAAAAAGCAGTATATGCAATAAATAGGAAATGATGGCAGTGTTCATCTTTGGTGCTGGGAAGCCCCGGGCAGATTGCTTCTTTTAGGGCTCAGTGTGAGCAGGTTCACAGTAGTTATGTCTGAGTGATGAGTTAGCACGTGATTTTTATGTCCTTTAAGTACATGTATTAGTTTTATGTGGCTGCAGTAACAAACCACAAGCTTGGTGGCTTAAACAACAGAAAGTTATTCTCTCACAGTTCCAGAGTCCAGAAATCTGAAATCGGTTTCACTGGGCTGATATCAAGGTGTCAGCAGGGCCATGGATCATTACAGAGACTGTAGGGGGAAACCTGTTTCTTGCCTCCTCCAGCTTCTGGTGGCTGCTGGCATGCCTTGGCTTGTGGCCACGTCTCTGCCTCCATGGTCACGACCCCATGAACTGTAGCCAGCGAGGCTCCTCTGTCCACGGGATTCTCCAGGCAAGAGTACTGGAGTGGGTTGCCACTTCCTTCTCCAGGGGATCTTCCCAACCCAGGGATCAAACCCAGGTCTCCCTCATTTCAGGCAGATGCTTTATCCTCTGAGCCACCATGGTCTGTGTCAAATCTCCTTCCGCTTCCCTCTTCTAAGGGCCCACCAGGTGGCGCTAGTGGTAAAGAATCTGCCTGCTAAATGCCGGAGACCCAAGAGATGAGGGTTAGATCCCAGGGTCAGGAAGATCCTCTGGAGAAGGAAATGGCAGTGCACTCCTGTATTCTTGTCTGGAGAAGGCAGTGGACAGAGGAGCCTGGTGGGCTATACAGCTCATGGGGTCGCAAAGAGTCGGACACAACTGAATGCATACACACATATTGGATAATCCATGAGACTCTCCTTATTTCAAAAGCCTTAACTTAATCACACCTGCAAAAACTCTTTTTCCAAATAAGGTAACATTTACAGGTTCTTGAGATTAGGACCTGATATCTTTGGAAGTAACTGTTCAACCTACTACATTTTATTTTTATCAGAAAAAAGTTCATTTTAGGAAAAATTCAATTTGGATCAGATTGATTCAGCTAAAATAATTAAACCCAAGATAGAGAAAACTTGCTTGCTGATTTAGGATCTTTAGAGAAGGCAGTTTAAAGAGACATTACATTTTATACTGAAATAGCATCTTTGCGTATCTGTCTCCCTCATTAAACTGTAAGCCTCCTAAGGACAGAAAGCATATTTATTTTACTGATTTTTGTGCTTCCTTTCCCTGCTTTCCAGCTACTGGAAAATGTTGTGACTCTTGCCTAGTAAACATTTGCTGGCAGGTTGGTTGGCTCACACGTGTCATCTGAAGTGTCGATGGGGGTGGACCACAGGTGTGTGGCATCAGGTAGAGGCTGCCACATCTTGGCTGTGAGCTCAAGATGTCTGCCAACGTGGCAGTAGCCAGCTGTCCTGGTTTGCCAGGGACTTGCCCACTTTTAACTCAGAAAAGTCCTGAGTTCCAGGGCACTTCTCCTCAATCTCGGGCAAACCAGGCTGATTAGTCACCTCTCCAGGAGCTGAAAGTTGAGGGGAGTTATCTCAGTAAAGCTGATGCTCCCCACGAAGGAGGTTTGGTCCTCGGATGGTATTGCCCTGGAAGTGTGGCCCAAAGTGGGGCTTTCTGGCATTTTTAAATGCAAAGCAAAATACAGATTCATTCACTTACTCACTTCATGCAACTAACATCTCTTGAGCACCTGCCATATATACTAGGCAGGCACAGTTCCAGGTGCTAGGTAAGCAAGTCAGATAAAATCCTTGTTTTCATGAAAAATGAAAGTCACTTAGTTGTGTCCTACTCTTTGTGACCCCATAGAAGTCCATGGAGTTCTCCAGATCAGAATACTGGAGTGGATAGCTTTTCCCTTCTCCAGGGGATCTTCCCAACTCACGGATCAAACCCAGGTCTTCCGTATTGCAGATGGATTCTTTACCAGCTGAGCCACAAGGTTCTCACGAAACTTACATTTTAATTAAAGATATGGATGACGAATAAATCCAAAGCATAACTCTATAGTGAGAACTGTTGATTAGCACTATGAAGACAATAAATGCAGGATACAGGTCAGAGAGGGCTTCCCCGGTAGCTTAGTGGTAAAGAATCCACCTGCCAATGCAGGAGACACGAGAGACACACATTTGATCCCTGAGTTAGGAAGATCCCCTGGAGTAGGAAATGGTAATTCCCCCCAGTATTCTTGCCTGAGAAATTTCCAAGGAGAGAGGAACCTGTCAGGCTGCAGTCCATGGGGTCACAAAGAGTCAAAGACGACTGAGCAACTGAGCACGCATGTGTACACGAGTCAGAGGATGCTAGGCACTGATAATCAAAGGTCTCCTATGAGGTGATATTTGAACAGAGACAAAGGTGAAGCGAGGGAACAGATTGTGCAAGTATCTGGTGGAAGAGGGTGCTGAGAAGAAATAACAGGTGCCAAGGCCCTTGTCAAGGACATGCCAAGCTTGTTTGAGGGAATATATGAAGGCCAGCACGGCCCATAGGGAGCAGGCAAGGAGGAAATGATGGGTGATGAGGAATTTGCAGATGGGCCAGGTGCCTGCTGCTACAGGTGTGACAAAGACAGGGAAGTATGACAACTGTCTGGAAGACAGTGGTGGTTGTTGTCTCTGGAGACTGAGGGTCTGATGTTGGAAGGAAGACACTTTCTTCTGTGTATTCCTTTGAATACGTTACATTTTTTAAATCATGTGCATGAATGACTTTTTAACCTAATCACTTAAAATAATTAAAAATAACAAAAGTGGCTTTATAATAATTTTTAAATAATTAATACAAAATAAAAGGTAAAAACTGAGTTGCAGCTAGGGTGCAATTAGAAGGGACAGACCCGGGTTGCTTATCCACCCTGGGGATGGGGCTGCCCAGGCTCAGGAGCTCAGGAGGTGTTCAGATAAACAGAGGAAACTAGAGCCTGGGCCTGGCCAGAGGGGATGGGAGACCAGCCCTCGCCAGAGTCCTCAAAGTTCAGGAAAGCTGGTCTTATTGATACTGACTGGAAGAGAACAAATGGTCACAGATCCAACCTGGATTTTTTAAAGTTTAACCATCAGCAAGATTGTCTTGGGTAATGTTGAGTGAAATTCTCTTTTAGGCAAAAGATTGGGATGGGCAAAGTTTCAACCCTTCCTTCAATTCCCCAGTGATGAACTCTGTGCTGTCCTAATGTGGGAACACAAAGAGATGGAAAAATAGCTTTGCAGTGAGCAGACCCTCTGGGAAAACAATGAAGATCTAGAGAGCTTCCAAATAGGATTGGGGTGTGAAGGGGAGAAGCTGTGAATAATAAAATGATCCCATATGGGACCTGCAGGCATCAGGGGTGAGCCCGCCCAGTCTCTCAGAACAGAGGTGACTAACAGCTTCCTAAAATATTAAAGAAGCTTTCCATGAACTCTGTTAAACTGACCTACACCTTTATTCCTAAGACACACTTTTAGAAAGTGGGGTGGGTGGGGGGCTTGGGAAGGGGGTGGGTGTAAAGCTTTGCAAAGCTCATCCTCTCTTTGCCAAGAGAGGAAGAGAGGCCTCCCCACCCGCCCTTCACAGGATAGAAGGTGGGAGGGTCCACGCCTCATTCCTTCGCCACTCCTTCCTCTGAGGCTCTCTCCCTTCACTCGCTTTATGAGATTCTCCCTGTCTTGAGAGTCAGGGTCTCCCCCACAAATCTGTTTTCTAAGTGACAGAGCCCAGGAAGAGGGCAGAGGTATCAGGTGCTTACTTCAGGCCCCATTCTGGTCCTCACCCTCTACATCTGCACATCTCAAAAAGCAAGAATTGAGACAGATCATATTTATGCTGGCTCCGTTTTGAGGCTTGCAAACCCAGCAGAAGACTGAGACAACTGTGACCCTCTGAGCCCCAAGTTTCTCCCCACTTCTGAGTAGGAAATGAAGTAGTTTTCCCACATAGAGATTTTTGATTGCCTTTGAAAATGGTTAGCTTCTGTGAATGCTTTACTTCAATTAAATAAAAAAGTCAAACAAAAACAGGTTGGTGGCCAAAACTCTGGTGTGATGTCCCACTTAGGAAAATGGAGCCAGTAGTTGAGTGTCTTAATCTGAGTGGGGTTACATGGTTATTATGCATATTGAAAGGACTCGGGAAGCTGTGGCAGAAGATTTGTACATTTTTAGTGTAGTAAACTATAACGTAGTGGAAAAAAAAATGTGACTACTGACCTTGAACTTAGGTACTGCTCCCATGTGGTCAGTCTTGAGTACTCAGCCACTGGGAGGGGCCCTTGAGCCTGAGCACAGGCAGGACAGATTCACAGGACAGGGTACAGGGGAATCTGTCGGGGGCACCTGTGTTGTGCAGGAGCCCCAGGCAGGCCTGGAATCACACTGCATGTACTGAAGCCCTTGCCTCTCCTGAGGGCCTGGGCTGAGCTGGGAACCACATACCCACACAGGAAACAACCAGAGAGCAAGTCCGGACAAGGCCACCGGGTCTCAGGGACAAAACTCTTATCCTGCTGAGAAGGCACGTCTTCACGTGGTCCCCACTTCCTGGAATCAGCGAGAGGCTGCCTGGTCACAGGAAAGTCTCAGGCTAGATGGGAGTGGCTGTTTGCACCCAAAAAGACAGCTGGTTGAATAAACATGCAGCCACCCTGTCATCTCCACCTCTCTCGGTCTTTGTCTCTGTTTCTCTCTCCCAGTGTGAGGACTCTGTCTGCCACGCAGGACACACCCAAGATTCCATACCATCTTTACCAGACACCTATCTACCATCTGAGGACACACAGAGACCCTGTGTGCCCACGTTGTTAGAGACGCTTTCCATCATGAACTCTTGGAGATTTTAGTGGTTTGTTGTTTCTAGAAAAGCGTGCCTCCTGGGAGGATGGTCTCTAGGCATGGCTGAGAGGCTGGAGTGCCAGAAGCCTGAATAAAACCCGCAGGTTCAGGGGAGTGTCCCCCTTCTTGAGTGCTCACTGGATTGCTTCATTTCTTGTCCACAGGAGGCGGTGTCTCATTGCCCAGAAGAAGGCCAACTGGCCCGAATCCAAAATGTTATCCAGGAGCTCCCCCCATCCCATTACAGGTAAGAATTCTTGGTAAAAGAAATTCACAGACTCTCAATGTGATGTAATACCACAGATGCAGGCTGGCATCATAAAAGGGGACAAATTCAGTGGACAGTAGCTTTCTGGAGTAGGTTGAGGTAGGCGAAAAGGTCAGTTGTATCAGAGCGTGTTGGTGCCTGACCAGAGACCCTGATGAGAAGGGACAGCCCATGTCTAAATTACTTTCAGAGTATACCTCAGAGTCCCATAAGAATCATTTCTGATTGCACAGGCCAGTCTCACAGAGATAGTCTAGATTCTTACCCAGGTTCATAGCTTAACCAAATCAGTGGAAACCAAGGTGGTTTCTAAACAGGGTTTGACTATCACTCTTGAGCATTTGGCTGCCTGCTGTCTCTGTATGCTCATCAGTAGCAGCCCTTATATCCTGTCATCCTCTCGTCTCCTCACAGTTCAGTCCCTAATTGTGCCACCTTTCCCCGTGAAAGTCACTCAGTCATGTTCGACTCTTTGTGACCCTATGGACTATAGCCTGTCAGGCTCCTCTGTCCATGGAATTCTCAGATTGAGAATACTAGAGTGGATTGTCATTCTCTTCTCCAGGGAACCTTCCCTACCCAGGGATCAAACTCCAGTCTCCCAGCATTGCAGGCAGATTCTTTACCATTTGAGCCACCAGGGAATCCCAGTGGTTCTTACACCTACCCAGGTCTTTATAAGAGGGCAGATTTTGATGTAGTATAAAAACATCCCAGAAATAACAGATGTTATTCATCTATCAAACGAGTTCCTTAACCAGTACCAGGGTGCCCATAGCTGGAAGAATTACAATAAAAGCTGAGATGAGGGCCAGTTTCAAGACTGTGTGGAGGCCATGCTGCCCTGGTTAACTGAAGGCACAGGCTCCAAGCACTGTGAGTCCCCGGATCCGTCTCTGGCTGCACTGGCATCCTCAGCTGACTTCTGTCGAGACTGTCTCCTCCCCACCCATGGCCAGTGTTCCCAGGGCCAGGAAAATTACTTCCATCTATCTTGATATCTTCCTGATAACCTTCCAAAATTCATGAAATAGACATATTTAGAGTCTCTTAACTCAACCTTAGAAATTATCTCCAGATGTCAGGTTTCACACAGACTCTGAAGTTTCCTACTTTTTCTTTTTTTCAATGAACCATTATAGGACCTTGGAATACCTGATTCGACACCTGGCCCACATTGCATCCTTCAGCAGCAAGACCAACATGCATGCCAGGAACCTGGCCCTGGTGTGGGCACCAAACCTCCTCAGGTAACCACTTCCCCTCACCTCACTGCCCCAGTGGGCTCCAAGCAGCCCCCAATTCAAACGAAGCCTGGATTCCTCAAAACTGAGTCCCCTGGTAGACAAACCTTTGGCTAAGTGGTTATTTGTCACACAGGGGAATTAAAGGTGATTTTAACAGCCCTTGCCTGCTAACCTTGGAAACTCTGGAACCCAGAAGTATATTCTGGCTACAATCATGATGTGGCCAGTGTGATGGATCATATGTTATAATTTCCTGGAAAGGTCTTTCTGGGTCTTTGGGGTTCCTTGGCTTTTGTTGGTTTTGGTGGGGTCCTAGATTGATGCTGGGAGGGATTGGGGTCAAGAGGAAAAGAGGATGACGAAGGATGAGATGGCTGGATGGCATTACCAACTCAGTGGACATGAGTTTGAGGAGACTCCGGGAGTTGGTGATGGACAGGGAGGCCTGGTGTGCTGCGATTCACGGGGTCGCAAAGAGTCAGACACGACTGAGCGACTGAACTGAACTGAACTGAGGTAGATAGAACCTGAATTAGCTGCTTCACATGACTTTGTAAATGATGACCTGCCCTTAGAACAATTCTTTGGAGCTTGAAGGAGATCCTATGAAAAAAGCAAAATCAATTCCTATATACTGAGTAATACGGTGTTTACAGCTTTGCAGTTTATAGTACCTGGTGACTATTTCCAGTTTCTCCAGTGTGTTGGGCTTCACAACCTTTGAAGAGTGTCTTCAGTTGATCTTAAATAGTTATATTAATACAAATTAACAAGCTGTATACATTTAGGAATTAGGGCCTGTGCAAAAGGCCTGCTGGCTCCCCGCTTATGCTTCAGTCAGTAGGGCAGATTCATTCACTGAATGTGTCTCTTTTGCGGTTCAGGTCTAAAGAAATTGAAGCCACTGGTTGCAATGGAGATGCAGCCTTCCTCGCAGTCCGGGTCCAGCAGGTGGTGATTGAATTCATACTGAATCATGTGGATCAAATCTTTAACAACGGTACACCCGGGTCACTGGAGAACGATGGTAATGGCTCCTCCTGGCATACACTTCTTCTTTGCCTGAGGCACGGGATCCAAGAATAAGTTAGAGTGGGTTGGGATCTAGCTCTCAGTGTCAGCTATGTGTGTGTGCTGACAACACTGTGTGTCAAATGTCTGAGGATCATGCATGTGTATGTGTATGCCTATGCAACAAAGGTGTGGTGTGTGCAGATGTGGCTCTAGTATGTTTCTGATCAGTTGCATACATGGCCTATCCCATGAACGTGGTGTGGTGACTTTGACTGCTGTTCTGTTGTTTTTAGTGAGTTCTTAAACTCTTCCAGTTGTTATCCAGAGGTACTGGCAATATCCCCCCAACTATTAGCTTTTATTTTTACTTCCAGTATGATATTGCAGAAGGCTTAAGTGAGTGAGTTAAGAAGCATCCTATCCATGCTTGCATATATATTCAGAATGCCTTCTCTTTGCAAGCATTTCTTTTTTAAACTGAAATATAATTGATTTACAATATTGTGAATATTTATATTTACAATATAAATTACATTTATACATACACACACACCTATATTCTTTTTTTGGTTCTTTTCCATTATAGTTTATTACAAGATATTGAATATAATTCTCTGTGCTACACCCTAAATCTTTATTGTCTGTTTTACATATGGTACTGTGTATCTGTGTAATACCATATTCCCAGTTTATCTATCCCCCACTTCCCCTTAGGTAGCCATAAGTTTGTTTTCTATCTCCGTGAGTCTGTTTCTGTTTTATAAATAACTTCATTTGTACTATTTTTTAGATTCCACATGTAAGCTGTATCATATAATACTTGTATTTCTTGCAAGCATTTCTTGAGCACTTGCTTTGTTCTGCCCTGCGCTGGACACTGGGCATACTGCAATGAGTGTGTGTTTGTGGGTGCATGTATATAGAGACTAGCTAGCATTGAAACCCACTATATGTGAGAAACATATAGCTATTTCAGGTTGGATGTAATGAGATGCAAGACATGATGTTCCAGTTCTCATAATAGCATAATGAACCCCAGGGATGCATTGGTATTGGTTTATGCTGCTTGAACTCATATGAGCCTAATTTATAAAAATTAAAAATACAGCTGATCAGTAAACCTGATAACTACCATTTGTGTGAGGGTACAATTTCCAGCATTAGCATACATCACATAACTGGGAAGGCTTGTTGAAACACAGTTTACTGGACCTCATACCCAGAATTTCTGATTCAGCTTGTCTGGAGTGCTGCCGAAAATCTGTATTTCTAACAAGTTTCCAGGTGATGCTGCTGCTACTGGCCCGGGTCCATACCTCAAGAACCTGTGTGTGTGAGAACTATAACTGCAAGATATTTGTATGAGTTGATCAAAGCATTCTTTTCTAGTTTGGCTAATAAGCTTGGGAAAATCAATTATAACCATCAAAGTAATCAATTGCAATTAATATCAAATTTTGATTCCTGGTATAATAATTCTTACCCCCACCCTGTTCTCTATGTGGTTTATGATCTTTCTTTTCAAATTCACATACCATAAAATTCACCGCTTTAATCATTTTATAGTATGCATTTCAGTGGTTTTTAGTGTATTCACAGAATTGTTCAACCATCACCACTGTCTAATTCCAGGATGTTTTCATCACTCCAGAAAGAAACCCCACACCCAGTAAAGTAGTCACTCCACGTTTTGTCCTCCCTTCCCACCAGAGTCTGGCAACCAGTCATCTACTTCCTGTTTCTATGGGTTTTGCTTCTTTTGCACATTTCATATAAGTGGAATCATACAATATATGGCTTTTACTGACCTACTTCTTTCACTTAGCACTGTTCTCATAGATCAGCATTTCATTTTTTTAATAGCTGAATGATAGTCTATTGTATGGATATACCATATTTTATGTATCCACTTATAAGTTGATGGACATTTGGGTTGTTTCTGCATTTTGGTTATTGTGATGCTGCTGTGAACAATCATGCACAAGTTTTTGTGTGAATGTATGTTTTTAATTGTCTTGACTATATACCTAGGAATGGCTGACATTTCTTTTATCTTTATTTTAACTTGCACTTTGTGCTAAGTTGCTTCAGTCTTGTCTGACTCTTTGTGACCCCATGGACTGTAGCTTGCTAGGCTCCTCTGTCCATGGGATCCTCCAGGCAAGAATACCCAGGTGGGCAGCCATTTCCTTCTCCAGGGGATCTTCCTGATGCAGGGATTGAACCCACAACTTAAGTCTCCAGTGGATTCTTTATCACTAGCGCCACCTGGGAATGAGAAATAGTATGCTTTCATTCGTTCATCGTTTTGAATCAACCAGTAATTCACTGGTTGTATGCCAGAAACTATGGCGGACCCTCCACATATATCATCTCTTTGTCTTATCACAACAACCATTCTAAAGTTATCAACCTTATTTTATACATGAAGAACCAGAGAACCAGAAAAACTTAGCAACTCATAGGACTGAATATGGAACCTAAATCTTCCAGCCTGTGATTTTTCCTTACCCAGTGATGCCTCTGGGAGGAAAAAAAAAAGATAGGAAAACAAATAAATAAACCATTGTAGAGAATTAATGACTTTGGGAAATGTTCTTCTTGACAGCAAATTCCACCCATGACTGTTAGTGTTAAGGGTGTTCCTAATTCCAACCTGGAAATGCCATAAAATTCCTTTTTTATGACTGTTGCCTTAATCAGCTTTTGTCCCACATATTGAAATTTAGTTTCCTCTGAGCCTTTAACTCTTGACAGCCTCCGATATTATTATTATTATGCCTCCATATTATTCAGTGCATTCCACTTAAATTATGAATTCTTATTGACTTTGGTACCATACTTAACATTTACACAAAATGGAATAAGTCATTTGTTGTCATTGTTCAGTCACTAAGTTGTTCATATCCAACTCTTTGCCACCCCATGTACTGCATGCCAGGCTCCCCTGTCCTTCACTATCTCCCAGAATTTGCTTAAATTCATGTCCATTGAGTCAGTGATACTATTTAACTATCTCATCCTCTGCTGCCCCCTTCTCTTCCTGCCCTCAATCTTTCCCAGCATCAGGGTCTTTTCCAGTGAGTCAGCTCTTCGCATCAGGTTGCCAAAGTATTGGAGCTTCAGCTTCAGCATCAGTCCTTCCAATGAATATTCAGGGATGAATATTCAGGGCTGATTTCCTTTAGGATTGGCTGGTTTGATCTCCTTGCAGTCCAAGGGACTCTCAAGAGTCTCCTCTAGCACCACAGTTCGAAACCATTCTTCAGCCCTTAGCCTTATTCATGATCCAGCTCTCACATCTTATATGCCTACAGCTGCAGAGAGAAGGTGGTCGTCTCCTCCCCACCCTAGCTAAGTGAGACCACCTCTGTGGCTGAACACACATTCTCACCTGACCGAAGGACTAGGCAGTACCCAGGGGCAAATACCCTCAGTTGTTACTCTGGCCCATAGCAAGTGTTCAGTATGTTGTTGTGTGAATGAATAGTCCGTCTCTGAAAAGTACAGGAATGCAGGTTACCTTCTGAAGCCTCTGTGTGCCCTCTGGCTGGGCTGGCCAGGATTGCTATCACATTCCTATGTGTAGTCTTTGCCACAGACCCCACCATGCCCAAGAGAAGCCCCTGCTAGGAGGTTAGGAATCGGGGAGCTGTGGCATCTGGCTGGAACTGGTGAACAGGTCCACTCCCAGGAGGTCTATGAGCTCTTATCTTCTCTTTACAGAAAACCGGCCGATCATGAAGAGCCTGACCCTGCCTGCCCTCTCACTGCCCATGAAATTGGTGAGTCTGGAGGAAGCTCAGGCCCGGAGCCTGGCTACTAATCATCCCGCCAGGAAGGAAAGAAGAGAGAATAGCCTGCCTGAGATTGTCCCCCCCATGGGCACCCTCTTCCACACTGTCCTTGAGTTACCAGACAACAAGTAAGTGGCCTCCTTTCAAATTCTGGGAGATGTTTGGGTGGCGGGGGACAGAGGAGGAAGCAGTTAGAGTCTCAGGGCTATAATGGCAGCATGGACTGGAGTTGTGGTCTAGTTTGGGGGGTAAGGAAGCCTTCCAGAAGAGATGGGAGCTGATGCCACAACATCCACCAGCGACTGGTGCATTCCCTCACTGCCCCAAAGTCTTTGAGACCTTGATCTCCCACCAGAGATCCCTGGTACTGTGGTGGGGATACGGCTCATAGGTGTCAAGAGTCATAACTAAAATCCCTTATTTCCTAGCTTATACAAAATAGCCTTGATGTTTTCAAAAGGAAGGCTGCTAAATGGAAAAATTTGGCTGCCTCCTCCCACCCTTCACCTTCATGGCACATCATAAAAGGCATGGAGGTGGACAGAGGACAAGTTGACAAAGCACCACTCTGGACTGAAAACTCTGAGGACACGGCACTTGAGGACATGCATCCTGGCTTCTGTTCCTCCTCTTTTTCCTATCAGAGCCCCTTCCCTCCAAAAACAAAACACACATGATTTTCACTCATGTCTTTCCTCACTTCTCCTTTTCATTTCTTCTGTTGTGACCCTGGTCTCCACACATTCCTCAGTTATGGAAGCAGGAATCCTGAAGTCTGGGGAAACAGTAAGTGGAGGAGCTGAAAGGCAATCTTTGCCTTGAAGAGTATCATCCTTGCTGTTTGCTCAGTGAAAGGAGGTGTAAAAACAGACGCCTCAGACCTCTTGTCAGTGTCCTCCATGTGACGGCACGGCTGTTTCCCTCTGGGGAGGGAGAGTGTGCTGAGTGCCTGGGAAGGGTGACTGGATCTCACCTGGCAGGAAACCCTTCATTTCCTGGAGGGCACAGATGGCACTGCCCCTCCCCCAAATCCTTGGAGGATGAGACTTTCATCCAGGGATCAGGAAGAAGGATACCTCTGAAGGACAATCGAGTATACCTACTCTGTGCTGTCAAGCACATCCTGGGGTGCACCATACCTCAAGATATAGGCGATACTGTAAAGTCTACCCCAAGGCCAAGTTGTCAACATTAGGCTAGATCTGAGAGAAACCACGAAGCACTGCAGGTCTATCTCTGATGGTAGAAGCATGTGTTCTATGAGACCCTGTGAAGAAGAGGTCCTCTGTGGAGCCTACAGGTTGCAGGGTTTCATCCCAGGACTTTGTGAAATATAATGGCTAGACCAGCCAGAGCCCGGCAAGGCCTCTTTGGTGACCTCTGGTGGCACCAGGTTCCCTGGGCCACATCTGAGTTCAGTTCAGTTCAATCGCTCAGTCGTGTCTGACCCTTTGTGACCCCCTGGACTGCAGCACGTCAGGCCTTCCTGTCCATCACCAATACCCAGAATTTACTCAAACTCATGTCCATTGAGTCAGTGATGCCATCCAACCATCTCATCCTCTGTCGTTCCCTTCTCCTCCTACCTTCAATGTTTCCCAGCATCAGGGTCTTTTCCAATGAGTCAGCTCTTCACATCAGTTGGCCAAAGTATTAGAGTTTCAGCTTCAACATCAGTCCTTCCAGTGAAAATTCAGAGTTGATTTCCTTTAGGA